GTTTAGTGTGAGGCACAGGACACAGCCATCTAGGACATTAATAATGCTAAAATAATTCCTGTTTAATGCTGTAATTCAAGACAGAGAGTTAATCGTCTGTACAATTTTAGCCACAAAATGCATGCTTACTATATTTTGCACCGAAAAAAGGACATATCTAACACATTTTGTCGTTTGCGTTTGTCTGGATATCACCAATCAATGTTGTAATTGTATTTTTTGTGAAACATGTAGCATTTTTTACTATGATTGAACAATCGAAAACTTCACACATACATGTATATAGTATTTGGAGACATTCACTTTTTTCTTCTCAACCTTGGATTTTTAATTTAGATCACCAATACAGTTTAATAACACTCGCAATCATTTTGCACCAGTGTTCCGTTGTAAGCCCTTTACAGTAAGGATTTTGGGTCCAAAGTGATTTTTTTATTTGGGAGAACAAATCGGAAAATCGCATCGGACTCGGAATCCCAAAAGAAAAAGAGTTGAGACAACATGAACAGGATCTCCAACCCTCACCCAATGTTTTTGGTGGGGTTCGTGTTTTTTAGTCTCATCTGTTGAAAATAACAGTGACGTATATACATTCTAAAAAGTTAGTATTAATGTGATCTTTAGCAGACCACGTTTCCCAGTTAATGTCAGGAAAATTGAAATCGCCTGTCAAAAGCACATTTGAATATGAATCCTTTAGTTTGCTAATTTTCATAATCAAATCATTAAATGTCTTGTGATGTTCTTCAGAAGAAGATGGACTCTTATAAATAGAGCCAATTAATAGTTTATTCAATAGGTTTTTTTTTTAAGCAGACATATTCCTTAAATTCATGCTTAATATCTATCTCGACTGCTGTAAGTTCTTGTTTAACATAAATCATAATTCCACGTACACTGTTTGTTGGAAAATTCTCAGGAAAAATATCGTAGCCATCAATTGATAATTCTGACTATTACATACGGTATCTACTGTTTTTGGGGAGAACTTCAGTTATTATCATAATATCAGGATCTATTTCCGAATTTATTAATCTTGTTTTGTTTATTTTTTTATAAAACTATCAGCCTTGGTATAAACGCACTTAAGTTCATATAAAACACTTGCGTGTTTACGGCCGTTCAAATGCTGGTCACCAATAACTTTAAACGAATTTACATTATGTACAATGTCATCATCTGGTATTACGCTTCCTTTAATACCCTTACTATTCTTCTTGCCAAGGGGGGTGGGGGGGGGGGGGGGGCGGGGCGGGGGGAGGATGGGGGCGAACTATGAAGTGGTATTTCCCTGATTTGTCCTTTTCCGTTTTCTCTTTAGGGCTTCATGTAGTTTAACTTTGTTTTGTTCTCTCTCTGTTTTAGTCATATCATGAGTCACACTTATATTAAAAACATGGACTACCTGTTTCTGTGTTCTTTAATCTAGAAAGGTTTTTCATTACACTCTTTTTACCTTCAGTACTGTTCAGTGTTACCTTCATAGGCATTGGTTTCTCGAGATCATCTGCTTTCTTCCAATTTTCAGCACATTACCAAAACAATTGCTATCTGCATGTAGATAGTTGTTCGTCTTTTCGTCTTTTGTCATGAATAAGATGGTATCTCTATGACTTGTAAGTTTATTATTCTCCCATTGGTATCGTTCGCCTCTTTTTTCATAGTTTTATTTCCCGGAATGAATACCGGTTGACTTCCTTTTTAAAATTTCATTAGCACCGGAAGGAAACACAAAATGTAAACAGATCATGCGAGTTGTAACAAGACAAGGCATTATTTTAGCTTAAAACGTTTCCCTGGCGACGAATATCTCAAAGTTAACAATATGGAAGTTGAAAACATCTGAACAAGACCGATAAGAATGCTTTCTGATGATGACTTTGCTGTCCTAATGAAAGAATTGGATTAAACTCAGATTGATGGATGGGAATTCTTTACTGAGAGTCACGGAGTTACAATTTATAGGCTATACAATGAAGTTAGTAAACTAATATCATTCACGTGCAATTGAAGATATATGCATATATTTAGTAATATCATTTGTATTTTTTTTTATATCAAAAACAAAGGGGGCAAAGGTTGTCCTGTAATATATGCCTTCACATTATATGTTGGTTATTTAACGTTTTCATGGTGGTATATTGATAGTAAAAAAAAAAAAAAAACAAAAACAAAAATAACAAATAGCAAAATAAGTAAAAAAAGATATTAGAAATAAATAGAAATAAAATAATGCCCCTGAGGTCAATTATTATAGGACATGGAGCAAAGGTTACTTGTACCTGTTGTCCACACCCACAAGACAATAGTCCAACGCAGCATGCAATACATGATCTTCCAATTAGTGCATTTTCCCAGAAAGTTTGTCGTCACAAAGCAAATATCTTATTGTCACAATGTCTTATGACAAAATTTATCCTGCATGACCCCAGGTCAAAAACACGGAAGTTCATTCATAGAAAGGCAATTGAAAACTTGTCAATAATCACAAGAAGTTATGAACTTATTCTATGTCATGTTTTCATTGACCATACCTTGGCTTTTCTTATTAATTTATAGATCTTAAAATGTAAAAATTTTAAGACCCATTATCCAATACATGTACATGTAAAGCATCTGTCCCAAGTCAGGAGCCTCTGGCCTTTGTTAGTTTTGTATGTTTTTTAATTTTAGTTCATTTATATGTTTTGGAGTTTAATGTGTCGGCCATTTTCTTTGAACTAGTACATATTTGTTTAGGGGCCAGCTGAAGCCCGCCTCTGTGTGCGGTATTTTCTCGCTGTGTTGAAGACCCATTGGTGGTCTTCGGCTGTTTTCTGCTCTTTGGTCGGGTTGTTGTCTCTTTTACACATTCCCCATTTCCATTTATAAATCCAAATTTTTTTCAAGTTTATTTGTGAAGTAAAGGTACCATTCATATACATTACAATGCATTTCTTCACAAATTTTAACTTTGAAATTGAAAAAATACACACAAGTATCAAAATTGTGCATGGAGATAGTGACCAAATTCATAAAACAAAGAAATTTATATAAAGTGAAAAAAATAAACTGCCTAATCTTTTTAAAAAAATCTTATTGTTTTACATATAAATTATATCTTTGATTATAATAACAGATACATATACTTTTTGTAAAATAGAAAAAAGTAAAATCACAAAAATACTGAACTCCGAGGAAAATTCAAAAAGGAAAGTCCCCAATCAAATGGCAAAATCAAAAAAACAAACACATCAAACGAATGGATAACAACTGTCATATTCCTGACTTGGTACAGGCATTTTTTCTTATGTAGAAAATGGTGGATTGTACCTGGTTTTATAGCTAGTTAAACCTCTCACTTGTATGACAGTCGCATCAAATTCCATTATATTGACAACGATGCGTGAACAAAACAAACAGACACAATAGGTAAAAATGTCAAAAATAGGGGCACAGCAGTCAACATTGTGTTATCATCTTAATCACTATGAAAACAAACAAATGTAACGAAGAAGCACAAAAAGGCATACATCAAATTTAACATCCTCATTTTGCTTATATTATACGATTTTATTTATCTATGTAAAATCCACCCATAAAGGATGGAAGGTTTTAAGTACTGGCGTAAAATCGCGCGTTTGAAATTCGCACAGGTAGACATAAAATAATTTTGTCGTTCAAAGTATGAGGGGATACATAAATACAGAGTCACGTAAAATGGATATAACAAAAACAGACTTAACAGTAAAAGTAATATTAAAAAAATAAAATAAAATAATTGTGTGGTACAAAGTATGACGATATACATAAGTACAGAGTCACGTCAAATGTATATCACAAAAAAACAGACTCAACAGTAAAAGTAATATTAAGAAATAAAATAATTGTGTCGTTCAAAGTAGAAACCACTTCTTAGTTCTATCAATGCTATTCTTTATCTTCATGCATGGAGATTTAATTTCTCTTGCATGTACGATCTCTACGCAAACTTTGAGGGAAGAGGTTAAAATTGAAAGTAACAATTTAAACAATTATTTGCTCATGTTTTAGTTTATACAACGCACAAAATTGACGAAGTGGGGAATCTGATGACATACTTGATTACAGATGAACAGAAACTAAAATCCCTTGCAAAAAAATGAAAAAGATTGGGAGGGAAATTTTTTACCCCCCCCCCCCCCCCCCCAAATTTTTATCATATTTTTTAAGTTTCTTGTTAATCAATTTAACATCCATTAAAAAAGAAAGCTGTTTATTTTGGTCAATTGTTTTAGCATTTTTTATAAAGATATGAGCCATTAAAGTTTCAACGGAAGAGTTGCAAAACTCTCTTTGAGTAGTATAAATTAAAACATAAGTAAATATATTTTGTTACACATTTATTGTCCTACTTGCTGTCGATACTTGTATTATGGCATTGCACAAGTTTGCTGTTTTCTCAGACTGCTTGTTACGTCTTTACAATAAGGAAGCAAATAAAGGGCTCATCAAAGATACAAGGCTAATAATTTTTTACGCCATACGCTCGTTTAGTCTAAAAAAAGGCTCATTACTGACGCTCAAATCAAAAAGTTAAAAGCTCAAATAAAATACGAAGTTGAAGAGCATTGAGAGCCAAAAATTCCGAAAGGTTTTGCCAAATACAGCTAAGGTAATCTATTCCTGCGTAGAAAATCTTACAAACCCTGCATTTCTTGTATTGATAGAGCTTTTCTACTAGGTCTCCGAAAGACGTTTTGGCTTTCTCGTGAATTGTAGCAATAGGATTGTTATCTTGCAAATATGTAACATGATGGTGATATCCATTTTGGTTTGAGTAGTCATGTAAAAGTTGTTAGTCGTTAGGTTGTAACTTTTGATAAAATTGAACAGGATAAGAACCCATGTAAAATAATTAACTCTTGCAAAATTTGAATGTCTTGTTCACTCATTACCCTATAATGTCTAAGTTTCTCATAATTTATGTTGACACAATGTTTGTACAAAACTTTCAAATGATTTTTATATTCTCTTTTCAGTGAGACAATCTAACGTTTTGCTAAGACAAAAGACAGTTGCCAAAACAACTATGCACACGCCAATGTTAATTGAAGTTTCCAACTCCACAGAGCCGTGAAATACGATGAATTCATACCAGTGATAAACAATGAGAAAATTTCCTATGATGATCTCCATCGGAAGTTTGGATAGTGGATATGTATAATCAATGTAGAAAAATTATCTGCAATACTCTAGACGTATCAATTACCGCAGATGATAGAAAAGTGAAAAGCGTTGATCAAAATACACATGGTACCGAATTAATATGCGATTATGTAGAAGTCTAGTTGGAGAATGCTCTGACGTCTTAAGTCACTGAAAATAATCTCAGACTAGTAGAAGACATGTTACATGTCTTAGGAAGTAACTAAGAAATACAATTCTTATGTATAAAATGTCCATCCTCCGTTAAAATTACATTACATGATGGTCATTTGCTTAGATGTATATAAATAAAGTTTTTAAAGTTGCTTCTAATGGACGAATCAATAAATTTTTGAAGGGGATGTCACAAATACGAATGTTCATAACATTTAAATTTTTTTATTACAACTAAAGTTATGAAGATAGTTACAAAGCAAAATTATATTAATGGTTACCGACATGATTTACAATTTTTGTTCTAATTTAATTATTATTGAATGTCTACCAGTCTACAATCGCACAGGTCAACGATCATATTTAAATCTTATTGTATATTATAATACGCGTTCATTAGTCATAATCAATTAAATCATTCCAAACTCTGAATCATTGTTGTTTCAGAAACCTGAGCTCACTATTCGAACGCTCTCATTTGCAGCTGGTTACACTCATAGTAAAACATTTTAAGAATGGCCAGGATTTTTGAATATTTACATGTAAACTTTATATGTATTCCTTAATGCTTTCAGCTGCTGGCTTAGGCAATGTTTTAACGCAACCAAATATCTACTTTGAAAGATAGATCATTTAGGATAGGCAAGTTGGAGTTGTAAAAACCTTTCGGGATCTTCTGTTTTTTTCGTAATGCTATTGTACATGTTATGTACACCTTCAAATCTAATTAAATTTGTTAGTAATTTTCATTGGCTGACGTTTTCATTACTAGAACAGAATTTAGAACAGAAAGTTGTCAAATCCTTGTTAGAAAAGCGTGGACATAGAATCTGTATTTTAATCAGATTTGTCATGAGATAAAATGATTCGTATGCCATCGGTGAAGTATATATCTTTAAAAATTTTATCTTTTTTTGGATCTCAGTCTTGTCTTCAATTGACTTGCCAACAAGAAAATTGAAACCTTCATGAGACCAAAAATCTTACGAGAAAAAAATGCTGGCAATCATGAACAAATTTATATAACTTACGATCCATTTAGCTAGCTAAACCTCCCACTTGTATAACAGTTGTTAATAATTCCGTTAAATTTACATAATTTGGTGAGCAACCCAAACAGACATAATAGGTTCATGTGACGAAAATTAAAAAGAGCCCGTGGTGTCACCAAACGCAGCACGCTTATGACTACTTTTTTTAATAATGTCAAGTCCAAATCTGCAGAGCATTTATTTTCCTTCTCTAATTATAGTAATTGTATAACAATTGAAGCATAATGTTTTATTTACAAACTTTGGTTTTGATCTACATGTATATAATCATTTAAACATTTTAAAATGTCTAAATGTAATGATCTTGGTCATTATTTGCGTCAATTTCGTAACAGATAAAAGGTACCGACACAGGAGATAAAGTGGTAGTTTAACTTGATAAAAAGCTTGTATCTAAGCGGATTTGTCGGATCACGTTTATAATAAAGACCACTAAAACCATCAGTTCCAGATTCCAAATATTCACCTATAGAATCGGTACTGCCTCTTACAAATTGAATAATGTTCTTCACTTTTAATAAAAAGAAATCAAAGATTAGGGATTTCAACGGCGGAGCTGCTTGTTCTAATTGTTCATCTTCCTGATAAGCATCATTGCTAACCGTCATTTGATTGTACGAATACTAATTAAACCAACTTTAAGTATACCACGCGGATGTTTCGGTTCACACAAACATCTAACACGAAAAACCTGAAAATGACATTAACGGATAAATATAACTAATGTTTGGGATAAAAATTGCTATACGTTATTAGTAAACATTTTTGGAATCATATTTCTAAAGTTGAAATAACTTTACTTGTACCAATTTTTCTGCAACAAATGCGCGTTTTGACATAAATGTTTCTCTAGTGATGCTCGAGGTCAAATGTTTTGAAAATCCAAAGCTTATTAAAAAAATGAAGAGCTCATAAACCAAAAAAAAGAAATAAAAAAAGTATAGCCAAAGCCAGAGCTTTGCGTGTAAAGTTGAAAGTTATATGATATGTTCACTATTAACACGCTTATACATATGTCTGTTTGAATCAAATCAAATTTGACTTAGTCATTTAATATTGAAAACAAACAGAGGTATTGTATTATTATAGTAATTCTGAATTTCAAAAGAGACTTATCAGAAGTTAATTTATATAATTTCATGTTTAATAGTACATGTACATGTTCATTTAAGTTCATATCTTCGGCGTGCGATGTTTCATTAAAGTTTCGGCTAAATCTCTCATATCCAAAATCCCCATGAGTGTTATTAAAGTCTCTAAAGTAATGTCGGCTTTTAAGATTCTTTATCGCCTTGTATTTTGTCATTCTGGTTTTGAAAGCTTTTTATTAGAATCTTTTCCTTTGCCGAAAAGTTTTTTCTTTGTTCGTGCATGTTTTCAATGATTGTCGATATTTTCTCTACATTTCCGTTTCTTCATTTGTAATATTGGCCTGCTTCAGTAGTCCGCTTTTTTTGTGATACTTCTCTTTCTGTTCTGTTTGCTTCTTTTTTTTTTTATCTTTTTTCATGTTCTTCTTATTTTTTTCAACTGCGCGATTTTTATAGCATGACTTGATTTTTTGTTCACTTCTTTTTTTAATCTTTTCATCCGTATAAAATTTATGCATTCTTTTAGAGTCGCGTTTTAATTTTCTTGAAATTAGTTTTTTGTAAGTAATTTATTTGTATTAATACCAGAGCGTTATGTATACTCAGGTAGAAAACACGCGTCTCGGAAATTCAAAATGTAAACAATTGACTCCGTGGACCTTCGATTGGACATAACTGTCTATCAATATCTGGTTTCTTCTGTAGCGCACTATCAAAATACGTGTATCAATACGTACTTGAGTATATTTGTACATTTTCAAGACTTGTTAAAATTTGAATCATAAACCTTGTTGATTGCGAGTTTTCGGCCGCTGAATATACATGTAACGCAGCAACGTACATTTTAGGACATCTATATATGAGGGTAGGAATGCCCTTTACCGTCAGGTGTCAAACGGTTATTTGCGGCTACCGTTAGCGTCAAATTGGTTAAAATTTTACCGTGATTTGTCAAAATATCCTTATCGTGATTCGTCAGAGGTCTCAAATAATTATCGTTACCGTTATTTTTGGAAAAAATTTAACGTGATTCGTCTAATTCCGTCTATTTTTGCGTGAACCCCCTGAGGGTTCACGCTTATATATTGGTGAGTTTTGGAAGTGTCTATGGGCCATTCGATATCCTCGGAATCAAGATTCTCGGAACGTCTCGAAAATTTTCGATCATTTATATACAGGTAGTTATCTATGTCTTTGATACGTCCCTCTATGGATAGGCTACCACGTGACATTGTATATTTCAACAATCAAAGTTCATTTGTAGATTGGAAAGTAAAACAATAAAGACTAGATTGCAGTCAAAAAATCATTTATATGTAAGAACCTATTTGCCTTTTGACAAAACATATATGTTTTCATTAATGGGAATGTTTATTAAATATCAAGTATAATGATAACGCAATTATATAATTCATGCTTTGATACGGTACCTGTACGCGTTGTGTGTGTAGTATTTAATACAAAGTGCTGTTGTGCATTGTAACGATAAAACTGGGAATAGTTTATTGATATATAATGTCCCAGAATAAACTGATTACTTCTGAACGTTAATCATTTGGTATTTTGTATTTCAATCATAGCATGGGAAAATGTCGGAAAACATAAAGAAAATTAAGAAAACGATATTTCTGTTCAAAATATTTATCTTAGGTTGGAAACACAGTGGTCGGAAAGCAGAAAGATAATCATACAAAAGTATTTTCTCTCAAAAATATCTAATTTCATTAATAGATACTACCGGACCAAGAGAATATTCATTATTAAGATTAAACTGAAACTGAATTGATATTCTTAATAGAATATAATTAAAATTGTCATATATACGTGCATTATGTCTCACAGGTTTGAACAGTCATTATATTTATGAAAATTATATGCAACGTATGAGCACTAATGAGCAGCGATGCGTACCCAAAGTTAGCTATATATTTAAATTTTAAACGGTCGTGATTGAAAAAATACTTGCATGGATTCAATTCACAAGGATTTTAAATCCTTGCAGCTCACAAAAAAAAACGTAATTAATATTCTACAATAATCATATCAAAATTTAATTACTATCATAATGTTAATTATTTAATTCGGTTTTAGTATGGATTTATAAGTCTCTGCTTATATTTTGTATAGCAATATATACATATAGTGGAATGTTAGACTTTAAAAAGAGATTGATTTGATAAATAATATTCCATCCGTAAATACTTGACGTTTGTGTTTATTGATATTATATTCTAAATTTTTGGAAACAATTCACTAACAGGAATGTATGTTAATTATAAAATTTTAAATTTTTGTTTGTTCGTCTGTTTTAATAGTTCAACCTTATAGCATCTAAATATTTGTACTATGGTACGATTTTGAAAATTGTATTCATTATGTTGACAAGCTATCCTACATGTCTTGATTCATTCACATTATACATCACCCTGTTCACACTCACACTATGTCAACGAATCCGGAGTCAAAACAGTTGAGGTAGGTAGTTTGACAGCCGAATTCAACTATTGGATTAATATATGTGATGACGCAAATGCGTATTCTTATCCAGAGTATCAGTGCGTATGCTTTCTATTTACTATTTCTTGCGCAAAAAACCACGTGCATGCATAAATATTAATTTGACTCTCGAATGCGAATTTTCGCTTTTCTTATCTAAATTCAGAACACGGCAGTAAGAGCTTGGCATGTGACTTTCTAGCACGGTCATCATTTCATTACGGTATTCTGACCTCTAGCTGTTTCTCTTTTGTTTTCTTTTTTGAATCACTGTCCTATTATAAACTTTGTCATTTTCGAAATGCTAAGAATTTTCTACCAAAGGATTAGATTACTTAACTTCGTACTTTATTTGGCCTTTTTAACTGTTTTATTCGAGCGTCACTGATGATTCTTTGTAGACGTAACTCGCGTCTGGCGAACAAAATTTTAATCTTGATATCTTTTTATATCAACATATCTTTATATATAAATTGGTTCTTTTGAGAGTATGTTCGGGTATTCATAAGACTTCTGAAATTAATACATTCTTCAAAACCAAGTTTTACTGGAGAATATTTGGATTGACTTAAGTAAAATCAGGAAATCCTTAAAATTTGAGATGTTTTATAAGACCAAAATAAGTCTCTATATAAGAGGTCCAAATGAAGCTAGTGTGTTACTCTAAAGAAAAATATACGAAACCTTCTTATAAGTTGCATGCCACAGGGTTTCACTTCACATGGAAATATCTATACAATATCTACCATGAGCACAGACAGCTTCAATAACGAGTTGAGAATAATCGAAGGCATCCAGGAAACAAAATATGAAGATATGATAGATAAAATAAACGCATCTGAATTATAAACCAAACTGAGTGCTTAAATTTATATTGCGATTGGTTTGTGCAATTTGCATTAGACAATTAAAAAAAGATTATGAAAAAATTATGTACGCTTCCAAGTAATAAATAATAAAAAGTCGAGCTTTAAAATGTATATTCAAATAGTATACACTTTTCAATTCACAACTCAATTGACTTGTGCAAGTATCTACACACAATTACATATTTTTAATAAAGGTGTTTTAACATCATCATTATCTTATTCTATTCACAGTTAATTATTTCAATTCAAAAGCAAACAAAAATTCAGGAACATTTTTTTGGTGACCAGTCAGCGGTCTTGGGTTCACGTATTGCTTTTCTTTTTTTAAAGAAAGCCACTTGTTGCGTGAACCCCTGATGGTTCACGCATATATATTAGTTAGAAATATAGTCTATGGAGGTATATTCGGAAGCTAAATTATTGTTCATTCGGAACACCTATTCATCTTATCTGTATTAGCTTCCTGCAATTAAGAGCACCTCCATACGGTGTATCTAAGATATTTAAAACATGGCAATAAAGAACTTTCACAGATTGCTAATTCACTTATCTGATATATGATAATAAGCAATCTATAGATCCTTTTCAAACATGTATATTTATTGTAAAGCTACATTTTATGCATTGCAAGGGTTTACTGACTTGAGCAAAGTTGACAGTTGTACCCTTTGATAAACAAGTGAAAGTTAAATGGTCAAGATTTAATTATAACGACCTATGGTATCAAACATCTGTGTCTAGATATTCACAGAGAGATATTTTAAAATAGTGCTGTGGTTTCTACATAATGAGTTAAAGTGGGCTTTGGGATTTGATTTGTAACAATAAAATCATTATGCACACTTGTCATTTTGACAAATCATGCAGATAAAAAAAATCTGTTTCAAATGAAAATAAAACAAGTAAAATAAAGACTGTTCGTTAATATACATTTTTACAACTTTTTCTATTTCCTTTTTACAGTATTCTCTATCAATTAAGTTATCTTGTAAGTTAATTAGATGTAAATTTAATTCATTGATGTCGCTATTATTTCAGAAACCGCTGCAGAAAGTCTTGACTCGTTCAAGAGACTACTGCATGCACATTAAATTTCAAGTCCCATGTTTTTATTTCCTTTCTGTTAAAATTATTTTTGGACTTGTTAAGTATGCAAGCGCACACCAAACAGTGACAGGATAGTCAACCAAATGACG